TTATTATATTTAATTATTATTACTATCATCGCTATCGTTCTCGTTATTACAATAACAATAATAATTATCATGACCATCGTTACCATGTGGATAGTAGTAGCTACTACACATCTTGTAGAAATCTTTTTCAACAACTTTGTACAACTTCCGTGTCTTCTACTCGGTTTTCCTTAAAGTGGCACAGCTTGCCCTTATTTTTTGTGATCTTTTTGTCATCAAATACACATGTGTGGAATGATGAAAATTAAATTTCACAGCAGAATATGACGTTATAGATGTTTAGCGTCTGTGGTGGACTACTAGTTGTTAACTTGTAATGCAAGCTTAAGTTGAACAAGTTGAGATGCTGCCGAGGTATTGATATCGGCCAGTTACCATCTCTTAAACTAGATCATGCTCCCACACGCACTACAATTTCCGTCTGAGCGCCTGGCAGTTTCATTGCAATTGTCGCATGAATGTGGTAAGCAGTAACAATTTTGAGCAAATAAATGGTTGAGAGCAGAATTAACATGGGTACACTATTCGATAAAAGACGTCTGTCTTTTCGTTCTTATAGTGCTTTCTAATACTGCGATACTTCACTGGGATCGTAGAATATATGATAATAACAACAACAATAATTATAAATTATACTACGATAAAATGGTAAAAGCTATCGTCGAAACATAGAGTGCATCTGTATGATCCGGGTGACGGTGGGCGTTCGTAAGCGATTCGCTTCTTGAACGAAAATACTATCATTATTACTGCTCGTCTGCATAATATCCTCTGAATATACATGAACGATTGAGTACGCAGCCGAAGTAACGTAGTCACTCTTCTAACAGAACGCCACGATGTTGACTGAAAAAGCCACAAGTCTGATTCGTAAGGGTCTTAGTAACAGGCCGCGCATCAACTTGAAGATACCGCGCTACGTTTATCCTACCTAATTGTTATTACAGTATATATAGTAATTCTGTCAATATTATCACAATATCAAGCGAATCACGATCATGATCACTTGAGTAAAATAAATAGTATGTATTTATGTATGGATGTATATATATATATATCCAAGAGTCGTCCCCTTGAGTTTCATTTTCCATCTTCAATGCGTATTTGCTTGGGGATGTGTGATCAATTGTACCCAGGAGTATATGCGTCCAATGTCCTATATTGTCGTTTACCTGAACTGCGAGATGTGCATCTTGTTTACGATAGATAGATATATTTAGTGTGATTTTATAATTTTTATTATTCTAGTCGAGTACGTCCGTGAGAAGCTATCGGCCAAATAGAATAGTACTTGAATGCCGCGGGGAGCCTAAAATGATCGAACAACAAATAGCAGCAAGTGCCAAAACGTAAGCATAATTCAATGTGTTGTCTAGTATATATCATAGCGTTATTGCTTAAAGTGCATTGAAGGTAGAAATTGAACCTATGGAATGACCCTCTGCACGTGTATATCCCATAGAGATCTGTGTGTCTATGTGTGTATGTATCTCCCTGTATATACTTGTCTGGGTTTAGACATGAGCTCGTGTCTTCAACATATGTGCATATATTGGCAAATATATTTTGTTAATAACTTGTCCATTAAAACATTACGGCTTATATTTGAGTGTCACTTGGTATGCCAAGACGCAATCACCTGTGTTTAGTTTCACTACCGTTGTAAGATTCAATTTACTGTAGGGAAAAATGGTCGACTATACTATAAGTAATAATTTGGCACATTTTCTGAGAACTCATCTAAAAGCAGATGTTGTAACAGTTCTTGCAAGAGCGGTAGACAATGGGTCGTCTCGTTCTGAGCAACTGGTTCTGTCTCGAGTCAAGCGCTATGACAATCCACCAGTTCGCCTTGCACAATTACAGTAAGATTAATAGTAACAATAACAGTTTATGTATATATGCTTTAGTGTTTGCGTATATTGGTTATAATAATCTAGTCTACTTAACGAGAAACTCGATAACAAATGTTGATTACGAGTCGAGCAGTTGGACAAAAATAATTGTAATTATTTGCTTTGTGCATCGGGAC